GGGGGGGGGGGCTTAATAGAGGATTTACGGTAAACCCCAATAAAATTTCTCTTTCAAACATTAAAATGCTCTCTTTCTATTAGCCTGTTCTAGGCGTTTAGATGGTGGCGGACAGGGAGTTCAATCGTACGCCCGCGCCCTACAATCTTAACTCCTGAAACACTCAGGCTATCTTTCTATAAATGGAGATGTATATAGCGAGATATAAGATTTGGTCACCGACTAATAAAGCAAATTGTTTATTTTTGACAACTGGTATAGACAGGAGAAGTCTAACCACTGCCCACTTTTCTGTCCGGTTGACCTAGAGAGGCTTTATGGCCTGTTTACTTGTAGGTCAATATTCTTCGTTTTTCAAACGAAAAAGCTTAACTTATAAGAGCTCTCACGGCCTGGGGACACATCTTTGGCAAATTCACTAATAAAAATGATAACCCGAATTCCTTTTTCATATGTTCTTTTAAGCAGAACTGGATGGCATTTACCAATTTGAGGGTTCAAAATTTTACTTTGGCTGATAGTTTGGCGTTTACCAACAACAGATCGTTATCTCGATCGCAACATAACTTCGCCCTTTGTCAGGTATATTTAACAAGTTAAAAGGTAAAACTTTTAAATTGCACTGTTTTGTAATGTCCATTTGTATTGCATTCGTTCTGTTATAACGGAATGTGTCTGAGCGTAGCTTGATATTACTATTTGTCTGTTTGTTTGTGTGTTTGCTTATTCGTTTATTTACAACACCGGCAGCTGCCCAAATACTACTTTTAAATAATTCATTGCTTTTCTTTACCAGAACATCACCTTCGCAGATCCGTTCTTTGCCCCTCCGGTGGTGTTAGTAACACCAAAATACATTTACAGTGGCAACAATTTGCTTTCTGGTTGTAACGCAGTCACCACCTGGGTTGAGGTAAGATTGTTGTTCCTTTAAACTGTATCCTTGTTAAGTGCAAAAAATGCACCGCCTGATGATAAGAGAGCATGTTACATGTTACATGTTCAAGAATTTTTCAGTAAGGTATGAAATCTTGGTGACCCATGCCAGGTTATATAGTTTAGAATATACGAGATTAATGGGACGCAAATTTGACGATACTGGACTGATTTTTATAAGAAAAAAAGGAAAATAAATCAAATATATTATTTCATTTAAAGCATTCAACCAAAAAAGATACAAAGATCTGTGTACGAGACTACGACAGGAGCAGTAACAATACCATTAAAGTCGACTTCCTGGTTATTGGAGGTATGTAAAAATCCTTGGCACAAAGAAAAGAAAATTAGAAGTGCTGTCTGTCCCCGTTTTTCAAGTTTTTAGTTCGTTTGATAAGGGCACACTGTACTTAACAGCCTGCGAGGCAGGCGCGAGAAAGGAGATGGGCCTCACGTGCGCCTCCGGGCGGCACACACCGACAAAGAATTCTCCTAGGAAAGACTCCGCGGGAATTAGAACTTAACTTGTAATTGAAAAGCCACCTGATGGAAACATGGCTGATAAAGTCATTATCAAAATCATGATGATAGTGATGATAATGATGATGATGATTATCATCATTCTCGTGACGTCAAAACCCTTGATAAATTGGTTTGATCAATAATCTTTTTAAAAAAGAGTTACGCAACCATTTAATATATTCATTTGTCAAGCCGGTATTAAACGCTAACAGAAAGTCACACTTTTGGGAAAGAATTCTTCGCAAAAAAGAAGTTAAGTGCAGGATATATTTATTTTGGTCATGTTTATATCTGGCTTCCTGTGTTGTTATGTTTGTGAGATGTAATTAGCGTTTGTAAATGATGAACAGGATAAATTTCCAAAAAACATCGGTGTTTCAGAACGTATATGGTCTAGATAAATTTGTACAAAAACATAATCGTAAAACTGCATCCTTCATTTTGTTATTGTTGTTGCTGCTGTTTCATCGCCTTCAGACTTCTGTGAAACGTGATTGTTGTACACTCTTACTAGATCTGGATCCTTGTCTGGACGTAACCTGTGACTACCACTGTCTTTGTAAGGCTTTTGGACCATACGATGCTCGCTGTGTGCACGCAGAAAACTGCCCATCCTACCAAGAGCCCATATGTTCCTCCAACGGGACAACGTTTGATAACAAGTGTCTCTTTGAGCAGGAAATGTGTTTGTTGCGACTTAACTATACTGTCCAACATCCCGGTGGCTGTGAAGGTCAGCAAAATAATATGCTGCTCACTTATTTGAAACATCATATTTAGACTGTCATGAACTAGTATGTAACGTTAGTGAAGCACTTTAGAAACGCACTTTTGAACGCTAAGCCTGAAAATATTGCTATGCACAATCAAACCGACAAGATATACAATAATTATTTAGTACACAAAAACAAATTGATAGCTTTGTTATTGTCACCGCCTTTTATTCTGTTCTTTTACTCCATAAATCATAAATCTAACGTATTTTGTGGATTTTTGTTTTTAATTTCCTTTGTATTTGACAGGCTTCCCATTTGAGCGCGGTCGACTTCACATGCCTCACATACCATCTTTGGGATACTCTCATTGTGAAGCTGTTCGTTTTCGACCATTTGTATTCTATCCTGACAAACCTATCCAAGTACAGATAACTGTCAACCACATCGATACCAGTGACATAACATATGTCCACGATGCTGCTGTGTCGTGGATTGAAGATGTAAGTTACGAACAATTCACTGGGTGCGTGATGGCTGCTGGGTATAACGAGCGCAAGTCACGTGCTAATGTATCTATAGACTGGATAGCTTATCAGGGAGCCCCAGTGGGTGGGGTCACTGGAGAGGTGCGAATGTCACAGTGGTGGACAGGAACGACTTGTGAGACCGTGAGTTTCCCTTCGGTAAGTCAGTGGATTTTTTCAAAACGCTTACCTACTACTACTACGACGATTACGGCGACTCACAGTATCACTATCACTACCCCTACCGGCTACTTCTACGTTCTTGGTCTGCCATGTAAGCGAATACGTGGCTTTTTTTACAACAAATTTTCTGGGTATTTATAGTTAACGAAAAACTGTTAAATAGACCTTTTCAGCTTGCATATTTTGTTGTCATCCTATTTCAGACTACCTACATGATGTTACCCGATCGATCAGAACTGTTTTTCTTTTAAACATCGTCTTGTCCAGGCGTGAATATTCAAGCATAACTTATGAAAAGTTCCTAGCTTGAGACCACCACGTGGTCTGAATTGGGAAACCAAACCATACAAGCTAAACAAGAACGCTCTTAGTAGCTTTGAGTCTCGCTTGCTTGGAGATAAGATAAGAAGTGAGGAGACCGCGGGCGGTCGTCTTTGTTCCTCGGAGCCATGCGCGGCGAGCGAAAAAGTACATTGTGCTCTCGATCTACTGTGACTCAAAAGAAGAATAAGAGACTGCACGCGATGTAGTCTAGGAGGCGATTAATCCTACACAAAACAGGATTTAAAAGTTTTTTAATTCCTACTTTATCGACGGTCGAGTATTCTTCGGGATATCTACTTTTTATATCGTTTTCGACGATTTGTTTCTGAACTGATTAGATCGTAAGTGAACAAAAATCAAGGAAACTTGATGAACATGGCGCGTCATTTCAAATCGCGAAAGCCGAAAGTAAAGCGCATGCTTACTGCAAGACTCATTTGCATACTATGAAAGTTTACAACACCCGACCAGTTAGCCTCACCATCGAAGTAATCACTTGTTTCAAAGTAATCAGCGCTTTCAAACGATAGAATCCCTGGGCTGACCCGTTCCGGAAAAGCTCGACATCTTTCGCAGCTTTCTATTCTATGGACATGAAGTGCTGCAAGTAGAGTGCGAGACAGACAAGTACAAAGCTACCCGTTTAAACACATCCGTGACACATAAGTAGCTAACGTCAGTTGCTCCCAGTAGTAGCTCAAGGTTAAATCATTGATATCTCAACAACAATTGAAAGTGAATC